TACCAACTCCAAAACCGCCACACCACAACATGAAGCTGTTATTGGAAGGAGCCTGGGGCGGAGTAGGGTTTAGGGTTTAGGGTTTAGGGTTTAGGGCTTAGGGTTTAGAGTATGGTCTAGGTAAGCTATTGGTCGCACGAGCCAAACAAGCCCGGCACGCGCCGCTCACGTGGACACCTCTAAGGTACGGTTGGCGGACAGTCAGGCTTCGGGGTGCCCGTTGACACTGACCCCTAAACCCTAAACCCTAAACCCTAAACCCTAAACCCTAAACCCTAAACCCTAAACCCTAAACCCTAAACCCTAAACCCTAAACCCTAAACCCTACATCTCAAAGAATGATATGGGAGGCCGGTCTGATTTTGCTGATTCTCAGCCAACTTCTACTAGCCGACCCACCTCATGCACGAAGCCTGCCTGTCCACCTTGAAGCATCTTGCACTCGTTCCCTTTCACATGGCGCCATCTATACTGCTGTGTCACTGCTTCTGTGGGCCCGAGAGCAAGGAGGACCAGAAAGCTCGGAAAGCAGGTCAGCTCTTCAGTTGCCAACATGCCGTCTTAAAAGCTCCGAGCTTACTCTGGCTGAGGCGCTCGAGAAGCAACCTTTAAAATGCCAAAATTGGCATCACTGCAGCCTCGTCGGGTTCACGCCTCAACGTTTCAAGTGCGCGGCAAACAATCACCAGGTTTGATGGGCTGTGGTCACTGGTCACCTATAATCTGTATTGTCATACTATATAATGACAGTCTAAGCACTAAGAACGCAACACTATTGCAACATAATAACGCGAAATATTCTTAAATTGTTGCTCAGTTAGGTTTAACTCCGGGTCCCGGGCATTGTCAGACCCACCTCGACGCAGCCAAGCGCTGCCAAACACTGCGAAGGCTATGCAGCTCAGCACTACCGCAAAGTAAGTCGCAAGCTCTTCTCCATCATCCACCATTCCTCTCGAATCGCTTAGCGAACTTAAACAGCTGCTGCCTCAAGCAGCCGAATTTTGGGAAGTTGGGAGGCAAACCGTCAAACAAAGAGCTATGCGTTCTCCGGTGGCGTCTTCAAAGACCTTTTCGAAACAGTGGGGGCTCCAAGGGTATCTAGAGGAGACACCCGCCATCACTTTGGGGTCGTTGATGCCAACAAAATCATGTGTGAGCCTGTTGCAGCTTTCATATGGTGTGTGCAAATTCAAGTAGAAGAACCGAACCAGGCAAAGCTGAGAATGCCAGCAACCTGACCTGAGGGTCACAAGTCACAACCCGTAAATTCTTCAATGTCGCCCCTGACTTGGCAGTTGCCAGCTGTTTTCTCCAAGCGGGCCTCCATTGTCATGTGATTCAAGAACCGACAAGAAGCTAGTCCAGTATGGCCTCGAACCCAGCCTTTGGATGCTCCAAAGTTCCACAAGAGAGGAGCCCTAAAGCTTCCCCTCGCCCCGGCTTCCTCCACATTGGAGGCTTTGAATAGAAACCAAACTTATAGACGTAAAGGTCCGTCCATGGGGACTCAAAAGGAAGGTACAAGCCACCCAAAAAGGAAAAGTTACGACAGCGATAGTCATAACTACCCATGAACCTCCAAGACACGCACATGCTGGAATGAGTTCAACGGCCTAACCTGCCAGGAAAAATCCCGGGGCCCTCCTCTGTCCGAAGACTGTAAACCCCCCGCCCCAAAAGGTCAAGACTCCCTAAGCTGGCGACTCCGATTCGGACCCGTAGACAAACCTTCTATGCGCTTTGTAGATTTTGAGTCCAGGGGCCGGCTATTCTTTCCATTCTTGTGTTACAAAGATGCACGTGCCTGCATGTGTACACCTGTGGCAGACGCGTGTATGCCCACATGTGTGTGCGTGCGTGACGGTGGCCAAAAAGCCGCCTTATAACAGTGTCTTACGCGACTCAGCAAAAAAAGTAGGTTTTGAATCTCACGCCACAGTGATTGCTCCACTCGCAGAATCCTGAGTAGTGAAGAACAAACATGACACCAAAACTATCGCTGCGTAGATGTTCAGACGGGCCGAGGCGGTGACGTGCGCTTACAAACAGCATCATTCTGACTTTGCGTGTTTAGGTTACGGTTGTGATCATGATTCCACTTTGGCTCTCACGAACGTCAAGGCTGTGTGAAGTGTTCTTAGGGGCCCAAAAAGCCACATAAACATAAGGATCCTACTATTGGGGTCTAAGGGCCCCTATAAGGGGGATTCCGAAAAAACAACTGTTTGTAGGATCCTTATGTTCATGTGGTTTTTTGGGCACCCCCCTTGCTTTTCAAATGTTGCATGTGCAAACATATTTCGCATCCGGTCTTCGACAATTGCTGCATCCCCCAGGCCTGCACGCTGAGCGGCTTTCCGTCGCCTGCAAGCATGACCAGCTCTGGACTGCCACTTTACAGGCGGTTTAGGGCTTAGGGTTTAGGGTTTAGGGTGTGTAGGGTTTAGGGCTTAGGGCTTAGGGCTTAGGGCTTAGGGTTTCGGGTTTAGGGTTCTCCGCAGGCATGTCCAGCCCTCTTGACTTGAACGGCACGCGCGGACTAGAAACCAGGCTGGATGACTTGGGGTTTAGGGTTTAGGGTTTAGGGGTTTAGGGTTTAGGGTTTAGGGCCGGGTTTAGGGTTTAGGGTAATGCTTGTCAAGCACCTGTCTGAACCTGTCTGATTTCAGGGTCGTTCTAAGTGCCATCAGATACCCCACAATCCAGTAGGTGGCACCTCCTCTCAGCAGCCAGAGCTGTCGGCGATTTGCTGCGGGGGCTTGTTCGGTCTCAGCTTCCAACAGTGGAGCAACGCACATTGCCCGTTCCTATGGGGGATTTGCGAACATATGGGACCCCCAACACAAACGCCCCAAATAGTAGGATCGCCTTAATTAGCCAATATCGGAAACCCAGAATGTGGCTGCATGGAGCTGGGATCCTGGCTTACTCGGCCGGGAAGTCCGTCCTGCCACATACGCAACAACCCGAAGCAAAACCACGGGCGCCTGCCTCGATGCCTTGGGAGGTGCTTGGCTTCAGAGGTTCTTCATAGGGAATGGGGGCATGAGGTGCCCTATACAATCCAGGGGTGAGACTGAGCGCGCCTCCTGCTCGATGGCACGACCCAAAGCCTCACAATGAGTGAGGGTGGCTGCCCTGCTTAGGGTTTAGGAGCTAGGGCTTAGGGTTTGGGGGGATCTGGCTAGTGTATCGGGGGCTCTGCAGCGAAGTCTTGTGCGACCAACACCTAAACCGGAGCATTGCTTGAGCAACCATTCTTCTGCGGCTGCTTCTGCACACCATGGGGGGTTGAACACGTCGCGGCAATGTGGGGGGTTTAAGTGCAACGGCGCTCAAGCTTACAGTTCTTGCTACCCGTCCAGCTTGGCGAACAGCAATGCAGGGCTACAGATTCTACTAATACTATTCTTGAGTTAACACATATATATATAATCTATAGATTATATATATATATATATATGTATAGCTATATTGTACTATGTCATTATGTCATTATATTATTTGCGTATTGAACTATTATAGCAATGAGCTAAGCGTATAGGCCTTAGGGCACGGCAGAGCCAAAGGAAGACAGCAATCCCTTTCACCGCGCTTGGCCCTGGTCAAATCCGTTTACGCAGTGAAACCGCAGGGCCTTAGGCCGAGCTTGGACTGAAAAGATAAAGGAAACCCGCCCAAACATGGACTGTTTAGGGTTTAGGGTTTGGGGCTAGGGTTTAGGGTTTAGGGCTAGGGTTTAGGGTTTAGGGCTAGGGTTTAGGGTTCAGGGTTTAGCTGCCCATGCACACTGCCATGCACATTGATCCTGTCGTAGGATGCTGCGGGGTTCCCAGCTTTCGAATTCATAACTGGAGTGACGCACGCTCTGCATTGTTTAAAAGGCATACCTCAGATGACAAGTGCAGTGATTCAGCAACTCACGAAAAAGCGACGGATGTGCACCGAAACGGCCGAGGCGCTGCTTCTTTCATGCTGCCTGAGGCAGGGAAGATACACTCTGGCAGGGCAAAAATTAGGATAGGGGTGTCCCCATATATTTTCCTCTTATGATGATGTCCAATAAGCGTGGATGTCCTGATTAAAAGCTTATGCTTCTGTCCTTTTTGGGGCCCCTATACGGGACGGAAGGCGAAGAAGTGACACAGCTGCAACGGTTTTTGCGAGGGTCGAACCAAAACTTGGCCTTTTCCCAGGTAGACGCAGCTCTTTGAGCAGGCATGAGCGGGATATGCCAAGAGTGTCATTTCTTGGAGAGATCAGCGGAGAGTTGCACTGTAAGAAGAAGTCATGACACTTCACAATCAGTGGTTTCCCCAAGTACAAGCTGCGACGCACGCCTCACCAAGGACATTTGTGGAGCTGAGACCCTACAGAATGTCCGAGAACCAAACCCGGTGACCGAGACCAGCTTCGAAAAGGGAATCAAAAACGACGAACTGCCGCTGCGCGGTCTGGGGAAAAGGAGCAGGTCGGCAGGGCGGAAAAGGCAGCAGCAGCACGACTTCGTCTTGATTTTCCCCCATTGTTCAAGCATCACAAAAAACTGTTAATGAATGACTTCGTGCCCTGACTGTAGCCGTTCGCCTATGCGACAGCTAACTGAACTTCCGACACGATGCTACAAAAAGAGCAGGGCAGACATAACCTGTGTTGCAATTCCTGTCTGCCAGCCTAAACCTTTGTGCAACTGGGCTAATAAGCTCTACCACCTCAAACCCTAAACCCCAAACCCTATAAGCCCTGTAGAATGCAGATCCCCTCCCCTGTCGAATACCCCCTCCATCCTGGAACTCTGGTGCCATACTCTGAGGTTTGTTTCATGGTCCCTTAACATGGGCCCTTACTTGGGGAGCCCTTATTTGCCCCTTCTACACCCTACGAAACCGGAGGGCCCCACTCTTCGCAACCCTTGAAAGAAGGCAAGAGACCATATTAAAGGGAACATGCAACTACCCTTAGACAGACACTGCCGCAAACTCCCCAAAAGCGCTGGCCTGTCCGTTCCACTGTGGGAACTGCCTTTTTAAGGCACGGCCTGTCGACCAGTGTGCAAGACGAAATTGCACATCGACCGAGCTGCAAAAGGCATGACATCCATGAGAGCATGGCAGCAACCCTTGCCTACAATTGTGAGTTTGATCGCCACCAACACAATCCCTGCCTGAGCGCATGCACACCCGGCCCACTGCACGCTCTTGCATGGCGGATGCTTCTGGGATCGACGCAAAGTATCAAAGAAGAAGCTGGGCGTGGGGCATAAAAGGATCCGATTGCTGTGAGTCTTCCCAGCGTTGTTGTCGGATATTCATCCCCTGGGACAGCTGCATCATTGTTGGCGTAGAGATTTCGGCAACGCGCAGTCATGAGGCACATGTACAACAGCACCAAATGCCAAGTCTGCAAATGCTGTGGCAACCCTAACCCTAAACCTTGAACCTTATGGTTGCCACCAGGGCACCATAACCAACAGTAGTAGCCTCGGTTCGAAGGGCATGCGCTGGGGTGGCACTTGGGTCGGTTTAAGATTTAGGGTTTAGGGTTGCTGTCCTCTCCTCTCTTTTTAGCACGAGGCAGACTCAGGTAGAGTTCAGGCCAGGTTGCAGTGACAAAGAACCACCAGAAGCAATGAGAGATTGAAGTAAAAGGCGTGGGCTCCACACCTGAGATGGAGACCCTAACCCTAAACCCTAAACCCTAAACCCTAAACCCTCTTAGGAGGCATGGGCCACATCAGAACGCAGGCGTAAGTGCGCACGGCTCTTGTCAGCAGTCCTTGAGGTGGCTGACCCAAGCCCCAACATGTGATGCAATCGACTCTGGCTTCGCTGCTCCGAACCCTAGATAGGGTTTAGGGTTTAGGGTTTAGGGTTTAGGGTTTAGGGTTTAGGGTTTAGGGTTTAGGGTTTAGGGTTTAGGGTTTAGGGTTTAGGGTTTAGGGTTTAGGGTTTAGGGTTTAGGGTTTAGGGTTTAGGGTTTAGGGATTAAACTCACTGCCTTTGCCTCATGGCCGTGCTTCTCGCAAAGACTGGCGATGGGTGTCTACGAGTTATCTCCCTCCATCCTGCCCCCCCTTTTCGTGGCACCCATACCAAGGTGCCATAGCCATATTTCCTTAGCTCTCTGCCATGCAAAACCGCCAGGTTCAATTGCAACAAAAAAGCAAGCGTCATCAAGCTGAAACAGCCCAGAGACTCCAAAACCCCTTAATTAAGGAATATACCTTAAATTATAGTAGGATCCCTAATATGATTTAAGGTATATTCCTTAATTAAGGGGTTTTGGAGTCTCTGGGAGATGCACAATGCCACACTGCATGATTGCCACCATGCATCGTAGGTCTAACGTAGACCCCAAGCGGGTACTCATTTGGGAACGCGCTGACAGAATACTCCCTGGGAAAATTGACTCTCCGGTGTCTGAACAGCGAATGACTTGACTCCGCGTAGGTGGCACTGCCGCTGCTCATGACCCACAGTTCTGCGGCGGCCAAGCAACGTCCCCTCCGAGATCCAAAGGCTGGAGGAGAAGAGAATGCACACAATGCTCGTCAAGGAGAACACCGATAGGATTCCAGGCAAGGAGTCCCTGCATCCATTAGCGTGTGCGATGTAAAAAAGGTGTGGCAAGGTCAGGCTGCTAGACAGAAGATGCACCCTAAACCGTACACCCTAAACCCTAAACCCTAAACCCTAAACCCTAAACCCTAAACCCTAAACCCTGTATGAAGCTTCGTCAAGCCCGGCCCGACGATGTTGATGATCATCTCCACACCTTCGTACACGCTTCTTCTTGGTGAAGCAAAGGCTGCAGATCATGCCCAAGACATCCAAAGACTGGCTGGCTCTAGGGAATGAGGGAATTCGGGCCCTTAATATACCCTTTAAGGGATTCTGTAAGGGCCCGTTTTAAGGCCCTTTATATACCCTTAAGGGATTCTGTAAGGGCCCTCTTATACCCTTTAAGGGATTCTGTAAGGGCCCTCATTCCCTCCTTCCCTACGAAGAACCAGCCAGCAACACGAGGCTCAGACCATCCCGCAGCTTCGGGGATTTCATCAATCGAAACCTGATGTAGGGTTTAGGGTTTAGGGTTTAGGGTTTAGGGTTTAGGGTTTAGGGTTTAGGGTTTAGGGTTTAGGGTTTAGGGTTTAGGGTTTAGGGAAGCGACATGGCTCCACTGCACCCGCCAACATCTTGCTTCTACACGACGAACCTCCCCATGCATGGCGAAGGAAAAACGCAAAGTAGCCGGGCAGTCGAAACTCGGAAATGCTGCAGCTAAACTGTGTGACTGTCCGTTGCACTCCCTGTCACGCCCCCCATCGCCAAGACAAGCAGCACCCGGACCAGCCGCAGCACTCGAAGCGCAGCGGTGCTCCCCTGGTACAAGCCGCCTCATGACTCGGGAAAGTATGCAGATGTGAAACCCCAAACCCTGAACCCTGAACCCTAAACCCTAAACCCTAAACCTCTACTCCTCCGAATTTGTAGCGACACATGGGCCTCTTGCGGAGAATGGGCAGGAGCCAATGCTGAAGGAGCCGGGCAGGGCTCAGGATGCGTACCAAGAGGCTGAGAGAGACGTAGTACGGTGCAATGGCGAAAAAGTCCACCAGGTTCAGCACTTGTACCGCCTGAGCTTCAAGAAGCGCCAAGACTTGCCAGCTTCGTGCAGTGACCCTAAACCCTAAACCCTAAACCCTAAAACCCTAAACCCTAAACCGCCCTTGTTCTTCAAAAGTGCCTGCGATTCGATGCTCTGCTGACCAGGCACATACTTCCAAGTCATCCTGAACGGGCCGACCTTAGAACGGTTTGCACCCACTCCACGATGCCCTATAACTACTAGTTGCTTGAGAACCCCAGCAAAATATCAATAAGACTTATCCCAATATGATACTTACTAATAAGGGGGGGGGGGGTTGTTAAGCGGCAAAGGGCGGATCATGATGCCCTCATTCCTTGGGGATTCACTTGTTTGGCTGTCTGGGTGCCGCACGTCCTTCTCATCTAAGCCGATGTCTTTAGGCGATGCACGATGCACCTGCTGCGAAGCCCCACGAACTCTGACTCAAAGCCAACGCACAGTCTTTGGATAAGTCAGCACCAGATGTTTGCAGGCTGAGTTCAGGGCCAATACAATTCGCAGCACCTGGGTTGGCGCGGCGCGGCATTGGATTCTCTTAATGCGGCACTAAGCTTTGGAGGACATCGGAACAGCCAAACGCGCAGAACCAAAGGTCGAAGACTTGGAGGCATTGCTGGACAGATAGCTTCTGGATCACCCTAAGGCCCTAAAGAAGTGAAGGGCGTTTACGCACGGCCTTTGCAGGTGGAGGTGGAATCTGTCTGTTGCCTGTGCTATTTCTCTTCTCTATACACCCCTTAGCACCTTAACAAAAGAAAAGTATTTCTAAAATTTTCTTGGGTTTAGATAAACACAAACAAAAAAAATTCCTAAAGGGGCTATAGTTCTGTTTTGCCTCTTACGTTGCTCTGACTTCTTTGGTCTTGGCCCTCCACATCATCATCTAGCAGGGCTGGGCCGGTAGGGACGCCGGTTGCCTCTAACAATAGACTAGTTTACATAGCCTGTGATACAGCCGTGATCAGCGATCAGGCGACTTTCGCGCGATTGCTAATCATAGCTGTATCGCGGGCTGTCTGAACTAACTTATTTTAGTGGCATTCGGCGCTCGGTTAGCATCGTTGACGAGAATACTCACGGTACTTTTGTCTTGGAGCTCTCTCTTCATGCAAACAAGAAGCATAGTCAATGGTGAAGATGATCATGCAAACGAGCTCCACGTACTCAAACGCAGGACCTACGAGGTAGACTGAAGACATGCATCATGAACCAGGCAAACAAGCTTCTCGAATGCCCCGATGTGCAACATGCTAGCAGTACTCCGGCCAGCACAGAGCAGCAAACACCTGGAACAGAAGTAACTACATGTACAGGCGTGCTTCGATGCAAGGCAAGTTACGAGGAACTGGACGACAGCTCGCAACCGTTATCCTTGGGTCAGGGTCATCATTCTCATCATCGTCCAGCATGTGGTCAGCATGAGGCAGCACAAACAGCTCGTAGAGGTTTAGAACACAGGAGCGTGAATTCTCCGGGTGACTTTTGTATTTTGTTTTCAAATCCAGGGGACGGAGGTCCCTTCGGCAGCCACTGCCTAACAAAGACGTGCTGATTGGATTATGATATGAGCCTGGGACACCAGGATCACATACCTGCAAAGAAGCATTCTTGAGACATCCTGTAAGGCAAGCTGTGTACAGGCACATCATTGCTGTTGCTCTGGCACAAACTATTCAAACATATGGACGTGCAGCATACCAGTCTGGAGCATCATTATGCAAAACATCAGGGCCAGCGCAGCATGAAAACATGAATTGGCAGCGTTGGAGAGCGTAACGCACCTTCAGCATCATCCTTGTGTGTGCGTGTGCGCGTGTGTGGCTATCGAAGCTGATGCATGCCTTGCAACTTAGAGTGAAGCTTATCGAAAGATTCCTCCATCCAAGCAGCTCTGGCCACGGCTTACACTCGGCCGGAGTGTAATTGAATTCAGGCAGGGACTCGAGCAGCATGGACACCTGGGTTTAGGGTTTAGGATTCAGGGTTTAGGGTTTAGGGTGTGGTGGATTGACTGTCGGCCCGGAGTCGTGGAGCAGACTATTCATGTTTCGAGCTCCGCGCCGCGTAAGCGCAAACTTTTGCGGCAAATTCACATACACCACATGGGCTATTCGGCCTTATCATCCCCATACTGAACCCTATAAAGGGGCATCTTTAACGGATTCTAGGGTAAAATCAGAATAAAAAAAGGCCTTTTAAGGGATTCTAGGTAAAATCAGAATGAACCCCCAAAAAAGGGCCTTTTAAGGGATTCTAGGGTATAATCAGAATGAACCCCCCGAAAAGGGCCTTTTAAGGGATTGTTATAGGGTATAATAGCCCATCCTGGCATGCCTTCGCATCTCAGGACGAAGCCGGCACTCAGACAAGGGCTGCAACCACGCCCAGAAACGGACTAAAGTCAGATCTCGCTGCAGAGCACTGGTCCCCCTAAACCCTAAACCCTAAACCCTACATCCGCTGTGCTGACCGTGCATCCGAAGAGCTGTGGCCACCATGATCACTGCTGTGACGAACCAGGACACCTTAGAGTACAAACTTTGCAACCCAAGTGTCTGAAATCCTCGAAAAACTGCCGGGTCTTTGGTCTCACAGGCCGCAGAAGGCTGCTCCAACTCTAGTACAATATGAGGGCTTCAAAATCGCAAGATTCCCTTAGAATAAGGACCCCAATGAGGTCGCCCCTCGTTTCAGAAACACCCCCCAGATCATTGAAGTTGAGTGCAGTACACCCTGTGCGACCGCCGACTTCCTATTATTTGCTTAAGAACCTCCCAACAAATATAAAACTGTATTCCTTACAAGAGCAGTATATAGGTATTATTTTTTTAGATTTTTTGGGGGGCTCTAACAGCACGTAGATGGCTTCAAACTTTACATTTGTTTGGGGGGTCTTAAAGCACGCACGTAGTAGCCTTTAAAAAACTATTCCTTATGAGGGCAATATAGGTATTCTTATTCTAAATTTTGATCGGGGATTCTTAAAGCACATAGATAGCTTAAAAAACCAACTATTCCTTCTAAGGGCAACATAGGTATTCTCATTTGGTAGCTTACTGGGGGTTCTTAAAGCACATAGGTAGCTTCAAAAAAACAAACATATTCCCTATAAGGGCAATATAGGTATTACTATTATTATTACTATCATTATGATGAATATTAATTATTATTGTTATGACTATTACTATTATTGTTATTCTACATTTTATTGGGGGTTCTTAAGCACTATTATTCTTATTGTCATTATATTATTTGGGGGGTTCTTAAAGCACATGGGTAGCTTCAGCTAAGAGGCCACGTTGGACGCGCGGCTGGAGCCGGCATCGCTCAAGATGGAGAAGATCCTGGGGGCCACCGTGGGTTTAGGGTTTAGGGTTTGGGGTTTAGGGTTTAGGGTTTGGGGTGGGTTTAGGGTTTAGGGTTTAGGGTTAGGGTTTAGGCTCCAACACACAAGATCTCAGGTGCCGACCCTAACCCCAAACCCTCAACCCTTTTCTTACTTCAGATTTTAGGGAACCCTAAACCCTAAACCCCTGAACCCTAAACCCTTTTTTGCATCTGAACCCTAAACCCTAAACCCTAAACCCTAAACCCTAAACCCTAAACCTAAGCCCTAAACCCTTTGTGCCAGGGCACTTCCGACTCCAGGAAGTGCCTTCTGGAAACCAACGCGACCCACGACTCTGAGCCTTAGCCAGTGCTTTGTGCTGCGAAGGGTTTAGGGTTTAGGGTTTGGGGTTTAGGGTTTAGGGTTTAGGGTTTGGGGTTTGGGGTTTGGGGTTTGGGGTTTGGGGTTTGGGGTTTGGGGTTTAGGGTTTGGGGTTTGGGGTTTGGGGTTTGGGGTTTAGGATTGAGGGTTGAGGGTTGATGGAAGATCTGTGCCCTGTGTCTGGGCCTGGTGGTTGCCATGCCCTTGAACAAGTCCGGGATTATTCAACTCTAGTCTGCATGTAGTTACTGTCGTTCATCGGTGCCAGCTGGCACGTCCGCTGCCTCAAAGTCAACCTGGATTCCGGCACCCAAACCCCCACCCCCCCCCGCCGCCCCACTATTATTTCATGCAAGCTTCACTGACGTCCAACCTCAGTTTTTCAAGAAACGAACAAGTGAAGGCCCTGTTTGCTCCAAACTCAAAGGATCACCTGCACATTAATGCCGCGCAGTCTGAGAAGGGGACTTGGTTGTTCTTGTGGTAAGCCGGTAACCCTCATGGAAGGATATCCTTCGCAGACGTGCTAAGCCGACCAGCGTGTGAGTGCTTCCTGACGTAGCATGACGAAACGGGCGCGCAGAGCGCCCCCGAATCTTCAATTCCAAGATACCTGCGCCCCCCCACATGGGAATGGGACGAAGCTTGCGAATAGGCATTCTCGAAGTTCGAACCTCAGGAATCCAGGCCTGAATCTTGAAGCCATGAACAACACAAGAACCTCGCAGAGGAGTGCAAGGCATCGGCTCAAAACCCCAATCGGCAGTGCCAAGAGGATCACCTCGGATGGCGGCCACTGCGACTACTACCATGGCCACACCATGACTGCAACAGCTTCGAAAGTACAGTGCAGCCTCACTTGCCCAATTTGGGAAATTGTCTGCATCGATGCAAAGTGACTCCGCAGTAGAAGCACATCACGCCAACGATCTTTCCTGGCTCAAGCATGTTGCGATCATGTGTGGCACCCTTGCCCGATCCTCGCAGGCAATTGGGTTTAAGGATCGCTTCGTATAGTAGCAGCATCTTGATTCAGAAAGAGCCATGCAGAGCAAGGAGTGCATGGATTTCGGTGACATGACCGGGCCTGGCAGGGTGGTGGGGACGATGTCGCCATAGCCTACGCGAACACAACTGCATCCATGGACAGGGGTCCAGCTCAACGTGTATTGCAAGGCTTGCATCCGCGGCACCCACTGTCGTCATCGTCGAGAAAGCCCACCACAAAGCAATCGGTATTGAGCGAAAAGGGGTCTGGACTTCATGCTCACCCTGGCAAGGCAACTGTAGATGGAAGAGATATGTCTCATGTGGTGTTGTGAGTCACTTGGCTATGGTAGTGGTAGGAGTCGTAGCGCCAGAAGCTGTAGATGTGGTAGAAGCAGCAACAGCAGCAGGAGATGCAGTAGCAGCAACAAGAATCAGATACGGACATTGATATTATGTCATAATATGTGATAGTAGTGAGGCCTGGTCGTGGTGGTCGCTGATGGTGGTGGGCTGGTGGAGGTGGAGGTGGGGTGGTAATGGTGGAGGTGGAGGTGGGAGGGAGGTGTAGAGGCACTGGTAGTGATGGGGCAGGAACGGTAGGGGAGGTCCTGCGCATCGATGCGGACGAAGACGCCGGTCGGAAATGGAGCCGGCACCTGGACGATGGCGGCCAGCGACAGGCTGCACTCGCCCCTGTTGCATGTTTGCTGCCATCCAAGCTGCGGTGTTGTTGAACGCGTCGATCTGCGGCCGGGTAAACTGAGGTGCGACCTTTTGTCGGCCAGGAGAAATACATAGTATGATGTCGAATATATAATATACAATGTATAATATGTAATATAAGGGTTCGCAATATATAATATAGTATATATAATATAGTATATATCATAGAGTGTGTATATATATATATCGTATATATATATATAATAAAATATCTATCATATAAGATATAACATAAAATGTGTGTGAAAAATAAAACAGAAACGGCTCTGCGATCTTCAGCGCTCAAGCCGAGGTCGCAGCTGAAAACTGCTGCCCCTCCACGAAGAACATCACCTCAGGGAGCTTGACGAAAGTGGGGAACCCCTAAAAAAGACTCCAAGAAGTCTTAGGACCCCCAATAAGGGAACCCCCTAAAAAAGACCATAAAGAGTAGGATTCCCCTTATAGCTAGGACCCCAATAAGGTAGCCCCCAATTTCGGAAACCACACGGTGGCGGACCAGCATCGGACTTCAGCTAGTTTTGCCCTCACAGATCACGCTGGCGCACCAGGAAGAAACACAAACTGAAACCTGGGAGTTCGCTACTGTACGCGACCCTGAAGCCCGGCAAAAACCCTGAGCCACTCCTTATCAGTTTCAACATTTCACCCTTGTTCGCCGGACCTCAACATGCCACCGCCCACACACCTCCTCCTCCCCAAACCCTTCGAATTGGTCTCTAGGACCCCTAAGGTTGTACCCTTTCAAAGAATGTAGGGCCACATTAGGACTATGCTAAGGGAACTTCTCTGGTCACCGCTGATGCCGCGCCATGAAAGCCAAGGCAACCCATGAAGCACCCATGCTGGCCAGGCCACGCAAGCGAAAATGATGCCAACAATCACGTTGAAGAACCTGCCACGCACGATGTGCATCACAGCGTTCTCTGCATCGGAAGCCAGACCGCAGGTTGCGCGACATGGGCTGCACTTGGAGGTTCATGGTACTTATTACCCAAGTATGACTGCACTTATAACCCACTTATAAGCCCCTTAAGTGCCCTAATATGGTTACAAGTACAGTTACCCTAAACCCTAAACCCTAGACCTTAGACCCTAGACCCTAAACTAAACAGTACCATGAGCCTCCAAAAGTATGTTTCTGAGGGCTGCGCATCAAGATTGCCAACGGAAACCCACTTCTCATCATCGCTTCCAAGCAAAGCCTCATGCCTGGGCCACAGCTGTGATACATAAAGTTATATTACGTATATTATATTGTAATCATAATTTTAATCATAGATATAAACATACTTATAATTATAGTTATGCATATAAATATATTATATAAAATAACATTACATTATATAATAGTCTATAGTATAAAATGATATTATATGAAATTATATTATATGATATGATATTACATTATATTATATTTTGCATATAATATACTACATATTCTACATTATACACTAATCAGTATGTATTATATATTATATATTAACACCGTGGCAAGCAACGTTTGCCAGCTCCCGTCAGTGCATCGCAGCTTCTTGCGAAACCCCTTGCAGTCTGGATGCCCCCATGGTGCTTCGCGAGCTTGAAGAGTCTGAGCACCTCGTGTGGGGGAGGGGGGGGAGTTGTTCTTCATCGGGGCCCATGTGCGGGCACCTTCTTACAGGATTCCAAAACCATCAGGCAAAGGAGAGCGGGCCGAGCACGTGAGAGCACGCACGCACCAAAACAATACATTCTTGGAGGTTCATGGTCCTTAATTTACCAATTAAAACTGCGATTATAACCCACTTCTAAGCCCCTTAAGTGCCCTAATATGGTTATAAGTACAGCGAGAAGTAAGTACAGTTCTAAGTAGCTCAAGTATCCGGCCGAACCAACTGAGGTCAGCACGCGGGCCAGGCGGAGCACTCGCAGCGAGCTCACGGAGTTCCCAAGCATGAAGCCCAAATAAAACGGGGCAACTGCCTTGGTAGTAGTAGGGCCATGGGGTGGGATGCTCCCCCTTATCCAAACAGTCCGAAATGGGGACTGTCGTACCCCCTATTACAATCCGTATTAAGGAACTGTTAGTATACCCCCTATTATAATCCGTGTCAAGGACTGTTGGTATACCCCCTAGTATCATCCCTACTAAGGACTGTTAGTATAAGGGTGAACATCCGAAGCCATGGGTGCTGTCTCCCCCTTTCTTCGAAACCCTGGCCCCCCCCGGTGCGACTTCCCTAAACCCTAAACCTATTGCAACAGGCTAAGCCCTAAACCCGAAACCCTAAACCCGAACCCTAAACCCTAAAACTCAAGACAAGCCACCAACAAGTCAACGATGTTCAACGGCATCCTTGGAGCCATCGCATGAGGAGGTATATGCAATACAACAGTGCATAATCGAAAATATACAATATAAAATATATAATATATAATAAGTCCTTTCTGGAGAGGGGACTGTTGTGAGGCGGAGTTTTTTCAATGTGATGCAGTGGTTTGGACGAAGTTCATTTTGTTGCGAGTGCAAAGCAGATGTACGGATTACTGACGACGTGCTGCAGACGGCTTCTTGCGAGCAGCAGCTGGCTTCTTATGGGCCTTGGAACGGCATGCTGCAGATGGCCTCTTGCGAGCAGCAGCTGGTTTCTTGTGGGCCTTGCCTCTACGTTAGCGCGCAACAACATTCGTGCGGCGGCCAACGTGGACGGCTGCATCCTTGAGGTTCTCATTGTAGAACCTGCAAGCCTCTGCTACCCAAAACTTGTGCGAATAAGGCCTGAGCGAATTGAAGAAGAAGTTCAGGCTACGGATCCAAGCGTTGAAAATTTCTGGGATGTTTGTGCGTACGTTCTGGCAGCGTCTCTTGACAGCTCCAGTCCAGTACCGTTTGGAACATTTATGATTTGGAGCATGAAAGGCGTCCACCACGTAGTACCTGATGTCGCTGAAGACATCGGGATAGTTTTTCTTCACGTACTGTTCAAAGTGGCACGCGTCGTCACGCAGGAGCAAATCGACCTTCATTCCCGGGAGTGCCAGAACCTTCGCGAGCAGTCGCACCATATCTTCGTGCAGCTCGTTTTGGATGTGCTCACCTGCTGCAATGATACGGCGACTCTCGGGATCAAGGACGAATTGCCATCCCGCTGTCCTCTGCGGTAGCGCCAGCCTCTCGATGACTTTCGACTTGCAGGAACAGGAGCGCTCGTGTTCCTGGAGGAGTTTACGTGGGTGGCCCTTCTTCTTGACTGCACGAGCAGGCTCCGAGTCTGGGCACAGTACTCGGTGGATGCCGCAGTGACCGTCGAAGGCGAGGGCAGTGACGTTCTTGGGAGGATGGAAGACAAGGTCTTTGCCCATGTGCTTGGCGGGGTAGCTGTAGTTGAACTGCATGACCTTCGTGGGGTCGGACTTGGCAATCACCCATGCTTCTAAGGCATGCAGTAAATGGTCCCGAGTGGTGGCATCACGCCAGAACATGCGGTCATCACCATCATGGAAGATACCAAGGACATATACTATATAACATATAACATATCACATATGAATATAATATATGTACATGTACAGGTCAGAGGCTTCATAGGCTCGATAACTGGCTTCCGCTCGGGCATTGGGGGTCTGAACCTGGTCCGAATCCATACAAGCGATGTGTTAATGGCCTCGTTGGGCCTCTCTGGAAAAACATATATGTATATACATACATATATATATATGTGTGTGTGTGTGTGTCTCTATATCTATATATGTATATACATATATAAATGTACATATACATATCTGCACCTCTAGAAAGAAATCTATCCATAAAGACAGACTGTGTGTGTGTTCTTTGAACAAACTACATGCATTCAAAAATATACGATCATACCCGCAGATATATAGGGTTCACCTGCGATCTGCCGGGGACGTTAGTCGTCCGGTCTTCTTCCGGACTTGCCAAAAAGAAGAGTCTTAGAGCTCCGCACACGAAGCCCCAAACCTTAAACCCTAAACCCTAAATCCCTCCCCAAGCCCTGCAAACCCTTGCTGGTTCGACGCGGAAGAAAGCAGTGCACAGCAACCCTCAGAGTTGGCACATTTGAGAAGTCAGGGTGCAGGGTTTAGGGTTTTTCGCTCCCGCATAGCTGGCAGGGTTTAGGGTTTAGGGTTTAGGGTTTAGGGTTTAGGGTTTAGGGTTTAGGGTTTAGGGTTTAGGGTTTAGGGTTTAGGGTTTAGGGTTTAGGGTTTAGGGTTTAGGGTTTAGGGTTTAGGGTTTAGGGTTTAGGGTTTAGGGTTTAGGGTTTAGGGTTTAGGGTTTAGGGTTTAGGGTTTAGGGTTTAGGGTTTAGGGTTTAGGGTTATATCCCCAATCAAAACTGCACGTATTCTAAGTCCCTGAAGTAGGCTATTAAGTCGATGTATCATTGGGGTTCTAAGTTCTAAGTACCCACGAAACCTCCTAGTGGAGCATGGCTCGACTCTTGCTCTACGTAATGGCGAAACAGAGGCAAGGGATCTCATTCAGCCCCCGACCTCGCATAGTGCATGGTGCGGATTGTTGGAGTTTCACCCAGCGCAGGCTCCGCGTGGCAAGTGAGGATGCGCGCCTTAGATCAAGCCGTGTCTCGGGGAGCTGCTGCTTGCAGGAATTCTTGGAAACAGGGTCTTACAGCCTGAACAGCATTGAGAACCCTAAACCCTAAACCCTAAACCCTAAACCCTAAACCCTAAACTCAGTGATAAACCCTAAACCCTAAACCCTAAACCCTAAACCCTAAACCCTAAACCCTGCTCACACTAGGAGAGTACTACACCCGAAGCTGCAGCGGCCCTGGCGTAGCCTTGCTGGGCCTAAAGCACATCAGCCCGCTAGAATTCACATCGCCCCGGCTCGCGGGGGCGCTCCTGCAAATGATTGGTTGTCAAAATTATGCTCCCTTTTGGGGTACCGTGAATATTAGGTGCCGTATTATAATAGGGTGCCAAAAAGGGACCATAATTTTGATAACCACCCAAATGATTACTCATCAGCGTCTAGATAACCCTATTCAAGGCATGTTCCCAACATGGACGGTACATGGGCTTGTGACACAGGATGTGCAGCCAGAGTCAGGTTTCAAAGAATATGGTCTTTTTTAATGGAAAGGCTGTGTGTTGAAGATCATTCTTGGAATTTCGTGGCTTCTGATTTGTTACGGAAATTTTATGAGTCTCTTCGCTTCTATTGATTTTTATGATGTCGTGTTGAAAAAATGTTGTTCGTCGACTTTCTGAAACATCTACGGCCATTTTATGAAAAATTATGATCGGGTCAGTTTTGTATGTTTCTCTAGTGAAAGACGATATAACATTGACTACAATCATTGTATTCAGAAAAATTTGCATAGAATGGACGAAAGGCATATCTTTCATAAAGAAATCAAAAAATTGATAAAATCGAAGAGAAGCATAATTTTTTCATAACAAAAATCATAAACCACACCATTTCCAAAAAGCATCAAACCATACAATATTCATGAAGATCTTATTTGGCAACCTGCTCGCTGTGGCTGCACCCGGGGTCATAAACATGGTCGTTCTCGACGTGAAGAATCGTGAAGAATTACGACAGCTGGCGCATGCTGACTCTCTAGGTGCTTGTTTAGGGTTTAGGGTTTTAGGGCTTAGGGAAGAACATGGACAATGTGGATCGCATAAAAATGTGAGTGGTCAAAGTGTGATTCCACAGTGCGAACTCTCACCAACGTGCATTTCTACCTGGCGATGCAAGATACTTGCGAGATAAAGCGCGACCATGTACGAGTAGCGGAGTCTTCACAATCAAAAACTGTCTGTCCCAAACTCATGAATCGAAACATCGGCCTACCTGTTCACCATGCTTGTTCTCGAGTCGATGTCCAAGGCCCCCACCAGGTACTCAACGGTGAAAATAAATATACACACCTGTGGCGGGCTAAGCTGAGCACAAGCAGCACGATGCTCTTCGCGCCATCTCCATGCGAAGTTGCAGGCGAGGGGCGGCTTCAATGTAAAAAAAACTTTCGTGGGGCACCTGGGCGTCAGCTCTTTCAGTGCCGTCTTCAGCATGCCTAAACCCTCAACCCTAAACCCTAAACCCTCAACCCTAAACCCTAATTAAACCCTAAACCCTAAACCCTAAACCTGAACCCATGTTCATGATTGGGGGGGGAGTGGGGGGGCACGTGCCAAGCGAGACAGCGTATGCCTGAAGCCCCGCGCACCTCTCAGCTCTCAAATCCTCTCAGATGCCCGTGTCAAGCAACTGAGCAAGAGTGGCTTTCTGCAAAATGTTGCCTAAAACCCATCTGAACAACTTTAACCTACACCTATAGCCCTCACCTGGGTGCCTCCAAAACTGCAACCCTAAACCCTAAACCCTAAACCCTAAACCCTAAACCCTAAACCCTAAACCCTAGACCCTAAACACCTCCGTGAGCCGCGCTTCTCTGAGCTTCCGACCGGCTCACATGCCTCGACCGTGAGCGGCTGACCAGCTGCCCGAAGCTGCTCGCAGAGCTCTGGGCGCTTTGCAAAGGACTGCATTGACCTGGTTTAGGGGTTTAGGGGTTTAGGGTTTAGGGTTTGGGGTTTAGGGTTTGGGGTTTAGGGTTTAGGGTTTAGGGTTTCAGGTGAATGCTGCGGTTTGCTTCCTGTTATAAGCCGGAGGGGGGCCCCCTCAATTCATCGAGGGCTCAGTCTAAAAAGCTGAAGCTCAGCACTTTGACATGGCAACCCCAAAGCCCATGAAGCCCTGGTCCAAGACCGCACATTAGGGTTTAGGGTTTCGGGTTTAGGGTTTAGGGTTTCGGGTTTAGGGTTCGGGGTTTGGTGTTTAGGGTTTAGGGTTTAGGGTTGCCCAATCGAGCAGAGGGGCTCTAGAATGAACGACGTAGTGCTCAGCAAGATCGTGGCCACCACAAAGGCGGAGATAACCTTGG